TATTGTTCATTCTTTGTGGGAGGTCGTCTCAGGTAAAGCTCGGGCGACAGCCACCCTTTAAAGATTTGTTAGCCCAAGAGCTTCGTATGATTACCCCGAGGACAGAGGCTTACAGTCCAAGATCCAGATTGATTCTCTTGCGCTCTCTAGCGCCTTTGAAACGGCGTAGAAGTAGGAACATCCGTCCACATACCACTTGACGTCGTTGCCCTGTCGGTCCGGGGCGAAACTGCCGAATCTGTGCTGTGTCTGTGGCTTTACCTGTCCATATTCGGCATACGCCTCTGGGTCGAGCGCGGTTCCTATGCGCTGACCGAGATCGGTTCCGATTTCTGCAACAGCGCCCTGGATCTTACCAAACAGCCCGGAGAGCTTATCCTCTTTGGCTGGCTTGCCCTGAGGCTTATTATTATTATCCTGATACTGGGGCTGAGGGGGGCGGCCGTATGCGTTCTGCGACGAGCTCTGCTCGTTGTAGTTCTGACCCTATTGAACGGTCAGCCCTGCGATACTATTGGAACATCGGCAATGTAACTGGCTTACGCCGTAGTAGTCTTGGTTGGAGCCTTGGGGCTTAGACTGGTAGCCTTGAGGCTGCTGGGGCCTGGGAGCTCCCTGTTGCGAATGATGGGTCTTATAAGTTTCCTTGAGCTTCTTGAAAGTATCTCCAACAAAACCCCTTGTGCTTTCACCTTGACCGCCACGAGTCCCGTCTTGGCCGTAATAGTGGCCGTAGGCCAGCGGGTCCTCTCGGTTGGCCATGACCGTCGCTGACTATCTGCGACTCGAGTGGAATGACACGTAAAAAGGATTGATAGATGCTACACAGCAGGAATGGTAGAAATCCTGCAGAGAGCTGTACAAGAAAGAAAGGGGAGAAAGAGAATGGGGGATCATCAGTATTTAACAAGAAGAAGATGCAACGAGGATCAACTTGACCGTATTTAATTTAGTCCCGCCCATTGCCCCGCCATTCCGAGACACCAGCTGAATGGCTCATTTCTATTAGGCTGCCACTTACGGAGTAGTGTGGGCGGGTGTCACCATCTCCTCTTTGGAATATAGCATGACTATTAAATGGCGCAGTGATATTAACTTATGTAGCTATTCATTGTTTCCGAGAACCTGCTTTCCCCGAAGAGAATCTGGAGCGGTGGCTGTGCATCCCACTGGAATTGAGAGTGCGTACTTTTGTTGAGGGGGAGGGGAACATGTATTCAGTAAACAATACCCCACATCAGACCAGATCTATTTCTGGTCCCGCAGTAAGGCACGTACGCGTACTGTATGGTAAAAGCCATGCACGCCATGATGTCACGTTATGCACTCGGCATGTGGCTGAGCCGTAGGGCTTATGTACCTGCCATGGATCTCATTGATCACTGCCTTCTAGAAATGTGGCTCAGGCTCGTCTCGACACAAATGGGTCTCGTACATTCCCCCCCTTCGTGGATTCGTCTTTTCAGAAAAGGAGACAAGACGGCTTGACCGCAGACTTACTGACTTTCCCGCATCCCCGGTTCAAACTTGTCGACCGGACCCACCAATACACCTCACCGCAAATCCAAGGAAACCCCTCCGATTGCGTGTAGGCAATACAAATGTTGCATGCTGTTCTTTTCTGACTACAACGTGGGGGGCAAGTAGCCTTACTAGACGGAACAGACATAGACGCTTGAATCTTCCTTTACTACCCCGAATGATGCTAGTAACTTTATCTTATCTTGAGTTTATAGTGTTTCAGATCTGTCATTACAGCCTGTTTGTTTATGGAAACGCATATGCTGTATTATTGCCTCAACCTGCTGGTAAAACCATAGAAACAATAAAATGAAATAAACTAAATATCTTCCGTTGAAGTCGGAAGGATCATTGAGGCACAATTAACCCTAGAAAGCGAGAACGATTTCTGGCCACGTATCTCATAACAACGTGATCGACCCCAGAGTGGATGGGTGGCACACTTCAACCATTCCCTGCGGACCAATGCTGTAAATATCAGAACTCCATAACCATCCATATATCCCTTTCACACAGTTCCACGCCAGGTACATATTTTAATAGCCTGCTCCACATCGCTACGCCGAAAACCAGGACTGTGGCCGAGGCACATTGCATTGCTTACTAGCGCTAGTAAAGTTAGCCACAGAGACATCACCAGAGGGAAGGGCCAAAAAGACTCACTAACTATCAAAGCTCGAGCGTTGACCACCGATTGGGAGGAGGAATTTCCCATATTTTTTGGGGGCCGAACGAACAGGCGCGCCTCCCTTTCTTGCAAGTAGTTCGCTAATTCCTGGACGTCAAACCAATCGCCCCCGATTTCTCTCAAAGTCTGCGGGTCGAAGTTGGGTAATGGACTATTACTTATTGACTGTGGTTGGTCAAGAGCTGACTGGCATTCCGTCGTTTGGTTTAGAGCTGATAGTTGTTCAAGGTGACTGGATAGGCAAGACGGGACCTCTTTAAAGCTCATGTACGACTTCTTGTTTAGCCGAGCATGCAAGGCGCTTCTGAAGACAGATGTGATACTTGCCCTAGTAAAAAGAGATAAAAGTAGCCGAAACGGTCTTTTGAGGGTAGTTAAAGGGACAGACGAATTGTCAAGTATCAGAAGTCCCTCGTAAAGACAAGCAATCCTGAGTTGTTCTATGAAGTCGGATACTTCCATTACAGTGACATCGCCCGGTTTGAAAAAGAATAGGCTGCTAGGATGATATCTCAAAAGGGATGGTGAAGGCCGAATGTTTGGGAGCGGCCCAGGGCTTCCGCCCTCGGACTGGTCAAGCAGACTTGGCGATATTGGTGCAAAAGAAGATCTTTCGTCATGTGTGACATTGTTCAGACTACCCTCATCGCCGAGGTCCTTCGCTGAAGATAGACATATCTGTACCGTCTCACGCAGACGCTCAGTGAGCTCAGGGTGTGAGGTGAGAACCCGGGATTGGAGCAAGATATCACTCAATTTGATCACCGACTCGCTCATTTTCTGTGCTGCAGCCTCAAGCTGCGCCACGCGCTTGTTTAGAACTTCAACGCCGGCTTCTTTACGGGAGCGATAAGCCCTTTGCGCCAGGCGCACTTGTGTCCGTCGCCGCTGTTGTGCGTGAGTAGATGTACTTTTCATCACGAGGGAAATCACAAACTCAGTAACACACCTCTTTCTTATTTTTCTCTAACCAGGCTTCAATGACTTTGCGCGGTCGCCCACGTTTCCTAGAAGGGATTCGGGCTGTCTTTGTGCTCGCATTTTCTTGTTGGGGTTGAGGTTGAGAGTCTGGTGTCAGACACGAGCTGATAATGGTGTCTGCTGGCGCATGATGATTGTTTTCGCTCATTTTCCCGTAGAGTGAAAGCACTGCGATGGTCAAAACAGGGTCACTGAGGCTAACGAGGCCTAAGCTTGCGATCCAGAGGTCAAAGTCTCGAACTGGAGAACCAGAGGAGTAAAGAGAAAGCGGCTTCTTGACTGTTGAATGACAAAGTCACCTTTTGTACTCGGAATTGAGATTTATATCAGCGGAAGTAGAATTAACATTCAACTGGGAAGCTCTCTCAGCCAATATAATGCAAAATTTGCAAGGATTTGGGGCGCGCAATCGATCCAGGTATACTTCATTTCAGTAATCATTCCGCTCGGCTTTTGGATCACTAATCTAGAATCCCGATATGTTGCGTTCTTCTAGCCGAAGCACGAGGCATCGTTAGTGGCTGAATCAACGATTAGGCTTTAGCTTATGGGCCCGCTAAGGATCCGGCCGGGGTATCGGTAGTTTGTTTAGGGTAATGAGTCTGATCCACCTCAATCCTGCGTCCTTCGGTTTTAAAGAGTCACTAACTCATGAATCATGATTCCTCGTAGCCCCACCCGTCTTTTCTCTTCTATCTAGTTCAGCCGATAACCCATAACTTAGAGTGTACATACGTTGCGTCTATCGCAAACAATCGGATCCAGAAGGTAGCCTTGTACGAAATCATGACTTCCTCTCAGCCCACTCCCCAGAACTTTCGCGTGGTCTCCAAAAGAGTCAGTCGTTGATGTACAAACCATGTCTTAGCCAGTGGGCAGCTCAATGATAGGTCTATCGAGAGCGGGTTTGCTAAATACAATGATATCACTCTTAGCTCTCAGATACTTCGCCGGGAGGGGTTGATTAGCTATGTGACTAGCCTAGTTGATCACTAATCATAAAGGCGAAGAGCAAATATTCCAATGATTACAATTGTTGATTAGATTTTTCAGTTGGTCAATTGATTTCGCTTGGCTAGTACAATTCCCGGCATCCTCGATGGTTAACGGCTATTCAATATTCTATTAACTAGTTTGAAGCAGATGGTTAGGGTTCCTCCAATTGTAAATACATTTATCCAAGGCGACTCTGGAGCAGTCGTGGCGGTTAGGCGCATCTCAAGTGAGCAGTGCAAGGGATCGATTCAATGGTTAGTAAGTTGCGCTGGGCAAGTCGCTTAAATCTATCTACAATGTGTTGGGTAATGGAGACTATTGAGAGGGTATCTCAATCCTCTAGCAATGCTTGTTTCGGACTCCTAGTCACTAGTGTGCTTATGATTTTCATGATGGGTATCCTTAGCCAGTTACCTAAATGAGAATTACTGGGGTATAGTGTAGGGTACCAGCGAACAAGACCCTTAGGAAACCGTAAAACTGGATTTGTACTGGGCAGCCTTACTTTCAATAGCATCATTGAGGGAATTATATGAGGCCCTGTTCCAGTGTATACTTACCATATCTACAGCTAAGTACTCGAAGCTTAAATATGAAGGCAATCTTCCCTTTTGAGTACTTTAATCAAGATCTGGGTTAGTAGGACTCGACTAAGATGCAAAAATAAGTCTAAAGCTGGAAAGGCATTCTGTTCCACATTCTGTGCCATGATTTCCTAGCACAAAGCTCGTTTTGTTTCAGAATCAGCATTGTTAAACCTGGGTCCAATGAAAAAGAAATGCCATCTTTTCTCCTCGTCACTTTATTCTTCCCCTCACTCTCTCGGCACAAGCAATGCCGTCCAAGTAATGGAACCTGAATTCAAGTGCGCAAGTTCTACCACTTGTTTCAATAATTCGAACATTCCCTGATATGCCCCTTCATCCAGCTCTCTGAGATTTGTCAAAAATTCAAACTGGCGCCGCTCAGACCACCGTCTCCCCAACAATGTCAAAATTCCCGCATTTTTCATGTCCTGCAATCGCTTCAGCCACCTATTCTCTCTTTCCAATTGGCTTTTGACCCCGAGCTCAACGAATTTCGCCGTATCTTCCACAGTTGGCTCCTGATCCTGGTCGTTTTGATCTAGCTCAACCAGAAACTCGTCACGGATGCCATTACCACAAAGGCCACCCAGGCCATGACCATCTAGGGAGATAATACTGTATTCCCCCCTTTCAGCAGCGCTAAGGGCGCTTTTGGTCGACTCTACTTTGTATTGTTGTAGAGCAAAAATATAATTGTTCTCATGGCCAAATCCTCTTTCATAAGTCGCGTCAAGACTTGCATAAAAAGGCATTTTCGTATACGAAGATTGACTGAAGATAGCCTTTTAGTTGACCTGGTGTATATCAAATCCTAGGTGACTTTCAAAGAGATATCGAAGACTGAAGGAAGTTTGAGAGGTTGGTATACAAAACATATTGACATTCACGGGGTTTTTTGAGCTATTTATGCTGGACTCTCTATGTGGTGAAATATCTCCTTGTGGAATATACTTTTCAAGCGGGTATATAATCCGGTAGAGACCCATATACTCTGGTACATAGAACCACAACGTAGGTGCAATATTCCTGTTGTTACACAGACCAACAAAGATAATTGCCATGTTTTACCTTGTGGACCGGCAAAAGTCAGGGTATAATGAATGGATGTGTCGGGATTGAGGGTGGCGTCCCTCGTGATAATGGGATTCTTTGTGACTTTGAAGTCCTTTGGAGATAGCCGAGAGATTTTGTATGGGACATCCCTGTATACGACGCCTCAAGGTGACTTTCCGATTGGCATCGATATCAGTGATCCACCCTCAGGAAGTTTCCACATATTGCTTTACTGAAAATCCCTTATTTTGCTCATATAAACTTTCTATATACCATTACTACTATATAGTGGTATGCAATGTTCCACCCCAAGATCGTGGCTTTGTCATGGACTCTTGCAAAGTCATGCCAGATAGGATATTAGACGTATGGTGTGTGCCACTGGAAAGGTAAACAAATAAGATGGCTTTTCCGAGGATATTCCTGCATTATCCGTACTATAGGCTAGAGTCTCGAATACCGAAGAGAAAGTCACATGCCGGATTCTGCCAATAGATGACATATATCAAGCTGACTCCGTTTAGTAACCAGATCTATTCCTACTATCAGTTTAAACAAGGGTGGCTAGTCCCTGATATCAGATAGCTATATTCCGACAGACCCCATCACTAGAGCCATTTCAGGTTGATATAAGCTCTTAATATAGGCTTGACAAAGGATCTTCTCATTGATGAACAGCTAGATATGTACAAGTTACAATTGCTGTGGGGATACAGTTGTCCGACACAAAATAGCATGTGTGCGAGAATTGCACTCTTGAAAAGAGCATTGGAGTATGCCAATGCTGCTGAAAGTACTTGGACCTTATATTTTAAATATTGAAACATATACGAAGTCCAATTTATGACTTGTTAATTTCCCCATTTTTCTTCTTTCCCCTCACAGGGATTACGTTAAATAATTATTTAACATTGGAACAAAAAGTAATAAAGTGCTGGACAACAATTCCCCGTATATTGTAACTTATGAAGCCCCCAAGACTGCCACAACGCACAAGCGAATGGAAAGCTGCAAGCATCAAATAGCACTTGTTGCAAGCCCCTCAATCTCCTATCACTCTCTTGCTCCTATCTTTTCTTCCCAATTTTCTTTCTTCTTTCCAACTCAACGTTACCTTTGCCATCTTCTGAAACCAAACAACAAAACACCAAGACCACAAAGCCCACTCGAGAGATCTCCCATTAACAGACCGTCTATCTGTTACCTTGCTCAATCCTTAGCAACAGATTGAGCTTTTCAGAACCACGCTCCTTCACATCATCCTCTGATGGTATTGATGTATCGTACGACACCAGTAGTATAATTCTATCGCCTTGTACACCTTCCAAGTTATCACTTTGCAGCCACATAGGCTTTGGAGGATGGTATTCAAGACGACATAAGCCATCTTTGATCAACTCCTCATCAACTTCTTGTGGACCTCGTGGCTGAATCGTGTTTAGAATCACATACCAAGCCATTCCTTCTATGCGAATGCTGTTCTGAAGAGTTTAACTGTTGCCGTAGAACGAATAGCTCTCGTAGGTGATTCAGAATGCAAGACAGGATAGGATTAAGGGGATGATGGTGGAGAAACAAGATGAATAGATTCCAGGGGCCATCAGTGAGTATTTATGGTCACCTATTGTACGACACACCAGTTACACGTGGCATTCTCCCTTTAAGTGGCGCCGTCCGTTGTACTGGGTTACTGTATTCCTGTATAAGAATGGAATATGTGGGGTAATATATTGGAAGTCATCTCTTAGACGAAGGTAATTTCCATGGTCTTTATGTCAGCTATACCCGAGGCTATATAGCTTATCATTTCCGGCTTCTAGGTAGCACGGAAGTAGCAAGAGGTTTCCATAGACAAAAATGCGATAGATTGGATTGATGCGAAAGGTATTGGCGTATAGTTTGTTGTACAGAGCATATCATACCTAGAATTTTGTTGATATCGCAACGTCGTGATACTGCGCTGATCTGAAGAACTTTTACCTTTACCGGAGCCATGCACAGACTAGCGACTCTCGTGTCCCGTCATAGAGACCATCGTCATCCGCAGACAAGTTATGAAGCATGCATTTGACTTCTACGTAGGACATGAACAGGTTCTAATGGTAAGGTGACACACTAGAACGGACTGCGAGCTGTTGCAGATAACCTTAGTATCTATTACCATCTATTACCATACTTAGAGAATGTATGGCTCTTCTGTAATATGTTGCTGATGAGCCGAGTCTCATATTCGAAGATGCTCAGGGATTGGAACCTGAAAGTTAAGTATTTATGGTAGGCACGATCTCACCCTGTCCCCATTGCCCCAACATCATCAAGCGCGCCCATTCTGTACCCAAGAATAGAGCGAAAACTGCCCCGTCAATCAATACAAGCGCTTTGAAGCTATATGAAGCAAACTGAGTCCACGATAGATTAAGCGACGCTGTGGCTTATAGTATTGGCCATTCAACCAGCATATACAAGCGCTGGGTCTGCATAGGTATTCGAGAGGGTTGTGTGGAGTCACTGGAGTGTTCCGGCGGCTAACTACGCTAACCTCCCGTTGGGCGATATGCGGGTCGCCCAGCGACCGCGATCACCGCCTTGGCGGCGTACCCGTAAATAGAAACCGACGTTGAGAACTTGAGATCATTCTGTTCCGACTTTGATCTGGGTATAAAGGCCACCGGCGCCGTAACGACGGCCATCATTCTCTCTTTACCCTAGCTCTGAATTACTCTCGTATTCTGCCTCCCCATGTCACTTCATCATCTTCATCATGTCGGTGCCCGAGTCTCCAAAGCGCCGGCAACTACGGAAGGCGCTACGTGCCCTTACAAACCATGTTGCAGGGCTCAAGGAGCATGAATTTGATGTAAATCAAGCGAAGGCACAAAATATCCACATCCTACCGATGGATCTAGACCAACAGTCCCCGTCCAGGCCGACCTTTTTTGCATCACGCTCTCCCGACCTATTGTTTAGTCCCGATGACTCTTATGACCATAGAACACCCCCAGGTTTTTGTAACCTTGATTCAATCCCCCGAAAGTTTCGGGAACCCAGGGACGGTGCACGTAACATACTGGAATACTTCCACCATTATGTTTATGCCTGCGCTTTGTTCAGTAAAGATTGGGTTCTCAATGAGCCATGGTGTCCTGTGAGGTAAGATCCCCTGGTGGTTTCCCTTTCAGTTCGACTTGTCTTCTCACACAAAACACAGCCTTGGTGATGTGCCCTTTGTGAACCTGAATGACCATAGCTCTCCTGAGTTTGTAACATCAAACGCTTGTCAGGTTAAGGATGGTCCATATCCACACCTCAAAGCCATGGTTTATAATAATCTGGACGGTGCCGACGATATTATTCTGCGAGGAGAGGTAACGATAGCCCTGCGCTTGATCATTGCGCAAATGAGGCGAAATCGCTTCATCGAGCACATGACTGCACCGGTAATTTTACCTTGCCTTCTGGATCCTGAGTACATTTAGGAAACGAAAAACTAAATCAAGTGGGGTTGGACAGGTTCTTCTTTTTTCCTTTATGGGACCCCAGCAGGTTCGGCTGGTCGAAGCATATTTCAACGGTAGTTCCGTGGTAGTACGCCCATCCCGGCTTTTTGATCTTCGCACAAAGAACGAGGCTGTTCTTAAAGAGTTGGGTCAGTGGTTCTTCGGGCCGCCGATTGGGAACACCAAGGAATGCCCCTAGTCGTATTTCTAGCCTTTTCTCCAAGTATGGTTTGTGTTTATGGTGGCGCGTATTGGGGTCTGACTCTTAGGTTGGTTTAGGCGTTCCTGTGTTTTCCTATTCCTTCTAGTTTTGCTTTTAATTTCAGGTCATTTCGACTATTCCGTCTGTAATGTTCTCCAAATCAAGCTCATGACTCGTCGTTTTGAAAATTCCAACCCTGAACCCTTCCATACCACGAGACTGTACACTTCCAGAGTCAAAAGGAGATAGTTTCAATTGAATGTGTATCTCCACTAGACATTGTGATATTGCATATAGCACTTCAATCAATTTGAAGATTTTCTCAAGCGGTTTCGAGGTCATAAAGTGGCAGGTTGAAGGCAAGCCTTGAGCTTCTCACAGTGGTGAGAAACATTCTCCGCACTTGAGTATACCTGTGGTACCTGTTAGTGTCATTCTACTGAATATCACTGCTTCGCTGCCAGAGAGGCCTGTACAATCTCCTTCTCTAGCTGTACCATCCTTTCCATCATCTCGCTTGAGAATAAATACGCGAAATGAGGGAAGCTCTTAAGTACTCTGTGAAACGGGTCAGATTCTTTGAGAGTCGGAATATGACGGGTTGCAAATTGCGCTACAATACTCTGCAACTTTAGATTTGCAGGAGTAGGCAGCTCATAGACATATTCAACAAGTTGGATAAAGTCCGCATCATTCCACTGATGTATCAGATCTGATACCAACTTTTTCTCGGCGAGGTCTCTAAGCCCGCTGATGGCGTATTTATCAGCAGTAACATGCATCATAGCATTGGCATATGTAGGGATTGTGGCACTATCGTGTCCATTAACCTGCTCCTGAGAGCTTTGGGCTTTTACTTCATGGACGAGCTCGGCGTCGTCATAGTCCTCCCGGTAGAGATAGTCAAGCATCTTTTTGATGATTAAAGGGTGATCGGTAACTGTGATCTCCTTTGATCCGCCCTTAATAGCATCATAGAAGGAGCCCGACTGTGGACAGACGATACAACAATGCGCATTGAAAATTGTCAGTCCACATTTAATCTTTAGGTCCGAAAAATCGCCATTATCTCGGATACTTTTTCATGTTAGATATTATTCTGCAGATAAGAAGGGTTAGGGTAAGCTTACTTTGATAGCAAAGAAAGGAGAGCGCTGGATCCCGTGGATACATTCTGGGCGCAGAGGTTTCTCTCTGACTGAGCGGGGAACTCGATGGGCTGTGGGCTTTCTTGTTTTGGCTTTGACTCTTGGTTAAGTGCTGGCTCTGGCTCTCGTTCCGGCTCTGGCTCTCGTTCCGGCTCTGGCTCTGGCTCTGGCTCTGGCTCTGGCTCAGACACCCGTACATGATCCTCCGCTATAGGCTCCGGCGTCGCAGGAGGCCATACGAAATCCTTACCAGGCACAGGCAACCCTTCCTTCTTTAGCTTTTTCGTTCGTTTCCTCCTATAACTAAAACCGAGACTGTCCCAGTTCCTATAGAGTGGATGATCAGGAAGCTTAGCTGTCAATACAGGTTCCGGGTCTGGCGCGTCCACTGGTTCTGGTTCTGGTTCAGGCTGAGGCTCGGGTTCTAACTCTTTTTCAGGATCTTGTGCTTCCACGGGTGGTACACGCTGCGTCCATAATTCCTCCGGGCCAGGGTTGCCGTGACCAGAAGTAACTTGATCTCTAAAATGGAACCCAAAATCTGATGGGGTATCCATGGTATCGGCCATCGGCGTAGATACCCACTGCTGTACATCCTCTGATGTGTCGTTATCCATACCTACCAGAGCTCAATGGAGGGGTAAAAAGATGAAGAAGAAAGAAGGTTAAATAGAAGGAAGGCAGAGGGGTGTAAATAATACCATAGTGCCCATGAGCATGGATATTAGGAGCATGACTCGCCTTCTGAGTCTGCCACGTCACAACACGCGGGGTAGGTATCTACTATGTAAGGAATCGCTGTCTGACTATGCAGCGTATGGGTAAGATCTGGGACTATATTCTCAATTTGCCAAGCTGATCATATCTTAAGTAGAGGCCAGCAGTATAGTTATATGCTGCATTATTAATTCCATTTAGTGGGTCAATCCTACAAGAGGAAGTGTGTACTTGGTGCTCTTGCAAGGATGTGTGTAAACAGGTACTATGATTTATAGCTGCTCGCCGCCACCGGTGCTATGTACATCGTATTAACATGAATACGAGTTTGATACATATTGGTTTATTTACAAACCCTTGCATTGGAGAGCGTTTATCAGGATTCGGAACTACAGCTGGCATATCATGCAAGGTGACATTGTTCAAAATTGTATGATTTTCTGGGATTTGAATTGATTATACAATATCTTAGCAACTGTTTTTCGTACAATGCAGACAATGAGTAGATACCGTCAAAGAGTAGAGTTCAAAGATTGTGAGAAAGAAGTCTTAATGTATTTTTCTGTCCAGCATAACTGAGGGAAAGCAAAGAATATCATAGCCGAATATCACCCAGTTTCTCCCATGCAAACAATTACCCTTCTTCACTTCGAATTTTCCTAGCTGCTGGGACATTTCGTTTTCAAGCAACGGGGCCTCTTCAGCACCAGTGATATTGTAGCAACATATCACATAGAACTGAAATACAGCCTACCAGCGTGAACTCCGACTAGAACTATAGCTGCTGATCATCTCTATCAATCCCTTGGTCATACAGCTTGATGCATATTTCCGCGATGGTGCACCCCAATCATCTGCTCAATCTTCCAACCTTACCCAATGGGCATATATGTCATCAAAAGGTGGATAGTCAAAGATCTCCAGTTGATCAAGGTCAACACGCCATGTGCATTCCTCGTAAAATCGGATCCAGAAATGTCTGTTTGAGGCCCGTAGAATTCTGGACCTGGGTTGGTGAGCGGACTGAGTTCTAACACACACATAATAAGGCATTTCGTGCTATGTAAGGGTGGGCCTCTATGAGCTATTTTTATTAAAGACCTTGCTTCGTTCTTCTTGCTTTTGCAGAGTAGGGATATTGTGTTCATATAGATTGAAATTACATAGGCCCTACAAGCTTACTGAAAGCGAGACACGGCGTGCTATTTATGTCTATACCGAACTAGTCTCAGATCGACGGCAACTTCAGAAGAGCTTGCCAGCCATGGAGGTCTCCAGGAGTGTTCAGACACCATAGTCCGTACGCAGATGAATATCCCCGGTGAGTTCCACAACCTGTTCCTAGTGGCTGATTCTTCTATCTGGGAACTTAGCGAAAATGAAGCGGGATTCGCAGGCTTGCCGGAATTCTGCGTACTGTTGCACTACTGCATTTGCATACACGGGAGAGTACCAGGTAGGATCAATATCCTTCTACATGTACTAAAGGAATATGGAGTGTATTCAGCTTTTGAATCTATTGATTCTGCTAAGCTCCTGTCCCCATGCCCGATACCTTGGATAAACTGGAACTTGTAATCTCAACTCTCCTGCTTTGAAAACTGTACGAAAGTGCCATATCACTACCCCAATTTATGTTATAGTGATCTGTTTAATGTTAATTTACTAACGCTGGGCAATCGGTAATGAGAAAAAATTATTTCTACCAAAGGACAGGCTCACAGTTAGTGCAGTTCAGGAACTGCCGAAGAAAAGAAAGCGAAGTTCTTAATTCGGTTACAACTGGGATATAGGAGGCCTTCAGACGCTTTATATCGCATAGCACTTATAAAGAGATAATAATTGCCTGCTGTAACTCAGAACTCAACGGAGCTACGAGTTCCTAAGAACTACCATACAGCAAACGTAGCAATGCGCATATAAACTCACTTTACTTTATATCCCAGAGCACTTGATAATACAAGACACCTCTTGAATACCCCAAGATGGATATGATGCGGTCCTTACAATGAACTATGATTGAACGTTTAAAATCACACGCGTAGTTGAATTTGATTTTTTGACATAGAGTCTATTGTAAACTCCTTGCTACCAAATGCCGATGATTGCCGGCGTGATACACCCTTGTACATGACAAATGTGCCATCATCATTCCAAAGACCTCGCCTTTTGACGGGCGATAAAACAAAGGGTGTCCAAAGCCTCAATAAAATCTCCGTCAGTCGATAATGGAAACCGGTCCCTTCTATCCCAGACCCCGTTGTCGCCATAGAGTGGACACCACCAAACCGTTGTGTTATCTTCTTCTGGTGGTATTGCACCTTGATCAAGGATCTTGAATTTATTCTTCTTAGCGTGGCGTTTAACCAAATACAAAAGCTTTGGGTCATCCTCAGATAGCCTGGCCTGTAAATCGTGGGGATAGTCGACCTCTTTCTTGAAAACGAACACCACACATAACTTCTCGCTCGACGGGGTAGACATATTGACTTGTTCGGTGGATGAAAGTAAGCGGAGCAACTGATGATGATAAAATATGAGTAGCAGGCTGAGAGCTTGGATGGAAGGACCTTTGGGAACTCAGGGGGGTATTTATACCAAGCCCATCCTACGCCGAAGAGATAGCCCAGTGGCAATATGCTGCCGATTGTGGATAATCCCATATAGTGGATTGTTGGCACGGTATAAGGCTAATTCGTAGGTGTAATATCCTGTACCGCACATCCAAATGGGCTATACTCCGTCCATTTACCTTCGTACGACGCCACATAAGCTGGTATTACACTGGAATGGTAGCAAATATGTGACAATATGGGCTCTTTCCTTTGCACAATTGCCGACAAAGATAAGGAAATTTTCGTATGCGGAATTTAGCCCAAGGTGTTGCAACTTACCCTTGCAAGGGTTTCGGATAGGTCTAAAATGCTACTCCCCTACCACTGTATCATTGGTTCAATAAACTGATGAACATCTGAACATCTGATACTGAGGTAGTAATCAACACCCATTGTCTATAGTGGTGGCCCTTTCAGAGTTTCGTACAATGAGAACCGAAGCTACTAGCATCCAGTGGAACTTGAACAAAGAGGCGTTTGGTAAAAGCCGTTATGTTCACGAAATATACCCAGAGGGACAATGGCCTTGTGAAACAATGGCCTTCGAGAGCATATACCTCTTTGCTTTTGCCGAGATGGTATGAGGATATGATGTTGGGGAAGTTCAGTGCGAGAATATCGGGGATAATAATCAATGATAGGGCTAGGCATTTTGGGAATAGTTGTAGAAGTGGTTTCATGCATTCTCGCTTGGGGGAAAGCAAAGCCTGACTGTAGTGTGCTTTGTCTCATACTTCGCGGTAAGGAGTGGTAGTGATGCTACAAGAAAGAAATCGGCCTTAAGGCACGGTATAGAGGCGGGTTCAATAGTAATGGAACTCTGCCTCTAATGATCCATTTCCTGAGTCCTTGACACTTTTCATTATCTCATCCTTCCCTGCCTCCAATCATTCAGCAGTGTGCAAATGTTGGATAACGATGGTAGCATCCTGGTTATAGTCTCCACAGCGTAGGGATTAAATGTTAAGTCAAACATGCCCCATACAATATCATTGATGTAGAGCTTGTCATATTACTGGCAATGGTTATTCTGTTGCGCAGATCAAGGATAGCTACGCAAAGTTGCTATACTATTCGTCAAATATTTAGTTATAGTACGTTGAGGGATGTATAATTATATAGCCTGCATATCCAAGGGTATACTGTTCAACATACAAGGCTGGGGTTGTCTATTTTGCACTTGCGATGATAGATTATGAGACGTCATAGGGCTAAAATCTATCTTATATGCTTGAGGAAGTTTTGCTGGGCCTGAATGGCCCTTTTTTCGTTTTCTATTTTTTATCCAGTTTTTGAGGTAATGATGTCAAGACATGATAAAGTCCAAAAGCACACCTTCGATATTCTAGTCAAAAAGAAATGGAAAAGGATGCAAATAACGCTACATGATAAGTAAAAGACCGTTTCCCTCTTCCTCATACACTGCGCCCTCCCATCCTCGGCTTTACTTCTTCGTTGTCTAAAGGAACGACAGTAGCAGGTACCAGCCTGCTTGGAGTAGCCATTCTAGGAAATAGGAAAGATAAACTGATGGCCTCAAATAACCATTCACGCCCGCCCCCCACACAGCGTAAAGCTTTAGAGAATGTTATCATCAACAGACATATCGACTTTGTAAAGACTCTCGAATGCTTCACAGATAAGATATTGAAATTCCCGAAGACCATGCTTTTCAGCAGCGTCGAATACCTTCTCAAGCGCCTCCCACTTCTGCTTATTCAGGTTCAGTATAGCTTCGTTAGCTTCTTGGAGCACTTTCCGAAAGCTTCTCAGTACTTCCACCTCAGTTGGCGTATGCCCATCTGAATTTACTAGAACACACATGATATGTTTATTCTCGTCAAGGGTTTCGTCAAAGGTGACTAGTTCCTCACGGTAAAAGATCTCCCACTTTCCTTTCGCCAGAAGAGTTCCACAGGCTGGATAGAATATTGTGTAGCCGTCCTTGCGTGAGACATCTGCTGTGACCTTCGCGTAGCAATATTTGCCTATTCGTGGGGGGAGATCTTCCTCTTTTCCTTCGGATTCTCTGCCTTTGCCTTTGTCGCCTTTTTTGCCTTTTCCGTCGTCTGTGCGATGCCACTCGTAGTACTTGTTAGTGCGCTTGTAGGTGCGCTCAGTAAACATATTTGGTCCTTTTGAACAAATTTGATGGGTGGGTTGTAGAAATGGGACGGAGAAGAAATGTAATATAGATGAACTGTTATCCTAGATCGATCGAAGACTGGGTGGACTTCATGGAGGGTTTTATGTTGGATCATTCTGGGCACAACCCACATGTTGAATGACTATGACTGGGTTGCGGCTTCCATATTCATCAATGGATGAATTTGAAACACTCTTTTATCACATGATACGGTCACAGAGTTCTCGCAATCTGGATCAGGTAAAGGCCAACAGTCCAAGGATTATTATTATATTTATATAGTGGAGGGTAGCATGCAGGAGGATGTATCAATGCCAGATACACAGGGGTCTGTTTCAGAGCGGCTCTATATGCCGTTCCGCTTAACGGTACTTTCGGGGTAGTTCGGTAATGAGTAAACAATGGCCTGGTACTTATATATGACCGCGGGGACGGAGCTTCCAGGGATGACGGCATCGTCTCAACACCCTGGCCGTGTTACCAGGGATCATATCTTCTTTCTCTTCTGTACAACAGGGAGTTTTCTCCTGGGCAATGCTGCTTTATCGACGAAAATAGCTGGGTATAGGGGGGTTCGCGTGATCGACGGTTTCGTCCATGCTCGAATAGAGCTGTCTGAATTCATTGTCACAAGTCGCCGGCCAGGGTGTCGATAGATGCTCCGTAACATAAGGGGGACGAGGTTTCTAATTGGCGTACTTGCTCCAAGAGCGGAGTCTTTTACCGTACTGTTTGAGTGTTGATTAGAGAGGGGGTTGATCTCCAAGAAATTGGGAGCTTGCTTACGCGTTCCAGAATGAAGGGTAGAGGAACCATAGCAATGGATATGAATCCTAGCGTGCTCGATGCCCATCCAATGCCCAGTGACTGTAACATCCTCGGAGCGGCTAAAGGCAACGCTCCGCCGAATGAACTTCGGAAGAATGTGTTGCCGGCGAATACGCTTGCCACATATCTTGGATAAGACTCTCCCAGGTAGTTAAGGACAGACTGAAAGGTGAGGTAGAATCCCGGTGCGAAGAAGGCTGTACCGATGATAGGGACAATCCAGTGCACGCTTTTATGGTAATTAGTGGCTGGTCTGAGAGGCGCTTACCATGGTGGACTTACCTTTCACGAGAGGTCCATGCAAAAATGAAGAGGCAAACCGGGATACAGATGGCTCCGACCTGTCCAGGGACAAGGCGGGCTTCGGGCTCAACAATGGCTTCCGGTCTCGCAACTCGTGGCTGATACGAGAAATATAACCACAGCAGGTATACAATGACGGACACGACTGCGCCCGCAAGAATACCAAAGAATGCAACTGAAAGGACTGTCAGGCCAAATATTGCAGGCGTTAGGGGGATACTTACGGCCTTGTTGTAATGCGGTGAAGTGGTAGATTCCGTCAAAAACTAGAGCGATCGTGAGCGAAAGCATATAGGTTATCTTCGAATAGTGACATACCAAATGGGAAAAATTCAAACCATAAATATAGTATCCCGTATATCAACATAGTGTGCATATTGACAAAGAGAATGACCGGGTCCATGCAAGCAAGTTTGAAATCGTCCATTGTCTGCTTTACTATGCGTATGACAAGGTTAGACTCTGGCGTGTCAATGTCCGCTTGACTTTGGTAAATAGGATTGCCTGTCTGGTCACGGAGTCGCTGGGCTCGACGAAGAAGGATATTCGAATACAAGGTCTCAGGCAGCAGGAAGAAAATAAACACGGTGGTGAAAGCTGTGACACCGGAAAGAAGCCATAGAGTTGCAGTCCATGTCTCCCAACGCTCGCTGCACGTATACCATCAGCATGAGACTGCCGTATAAGGCGAATTTAACACGTACATTACCAGTGTACCAAGAATCTAGTCCTCACAGTAAGTAAAAGCACTGAAAATAGAATCGGGAAAAATTCGCATACCGGTCCTAAAATAGGCCCACACACTCCGCTGACTGCGTACAATGCAATGGCATACGGGATTTCGGTGGGTCCATATACCTCCATCAGCGTAGCACCACCTACACTAATTGGTGCACTCCCAATGAAGCCGCCGAAAAATCTCAATATGAGAATAGTATGCAGGTTCTTTGCTACCGCAGTACCTATATTAAATAAACAAAAAGCAAGAGAGCCGAGAACATAAACTGGTGTACGTCCAATAGATGGCAAGTTCGATACCGGTGAAAGCTAGAGTACATTTTATCGTCAGCGTATTCCTACTCTTAAATAAGTCGGTATACGTACAATGAGTGGCCCAATGCCATATGCAATAACGAAAAGAGAGAGTCCCAGGGTACCCTCTGCAGTGGTAGCGCCAAAGGCCTCTTCGATCCCCGGAATGCTTGGTGTGAAGATTGCCGACGCCGCATAAAAGCTGAAGTTCAGGAGCATAACATCCACCATTACGATCGTCTTGGCTAACGTGGGCCAATTTCTGGGCATATCTGGATCCTCGGGTCCGTTGAAATCGACCAATTTGTAGCGAGTGGCCCCATGGCAAGTAGAAGAGCTTGAACTCGTGGTTTCTTCCTCCTTTGGAATATCAAGATCACGATGTGGGAATGTCCGGCCATTTGTTACAAAATTCAGTAACCGTCCGAATGAGCTTTCGCGAAGTAGGATGTCCATCGTGGAGATGGCGTGAATTCACAAAATCACTTTTGTGTTTGCAAATGAAAGACAACGGCGGATCAATTGATAGTTCTGTTTAGGTTGAGATCAAGGTCGAAATTACTTATTCAGCCATGTATTTCAACGTCCATGGCAAACATTATATATGCACTAACTCAGAGGCGATCGATACGTTGATCAAGGCGCCTAGCTCGGAATTCCGAGGCATATCCCTTTCTGTCCAATGAAACTCCACTCTTAAACCCTATCTCCGTACCCGTTTCAAGCAGTGATCGGAATTCCGTGCATCCTCCAAGAGTCTAGTATTAAGCTCGGAATGCCAGTAAATGTCTTAATATTCCGTGGAATATAAATTCTAAGTGCATGGAAAAGTATGAACTTGGCGAATCTATAAGATACTCCACCTGAAGACCCAAGTTTATCAACATGCAAAAAAGCTATCTTTATTCAATCTACCGAAATATGACGCCCGTGAACCACAGGAGGCAAGTAAAACAATTAGGAACAGTCAAATCAAAGAAAAGAAGGAAAGGTCCGAAGGAGACAATACCCTATCGAGAATTGGGACGAGTTTAACTGTCTCATGGACGCGCAGAAACATAACGCTGTAGCATCCCTATCATGGTGGCAACGTCGTCGGGCCACGGTATAGCTATATAAAGGTGCGATCCAGGTAAGATCGGACCTAGGTCTGATTATTCTGGCCTTTTGCCCCAGTTGGGAACGGAATTGCCTGGACATCCGTTTTTACAATCCGCCTAGGAAGTCTGAGACATAGTCGAACAAGTCAATTGTCGTCGATGCCGAAATTGCCTTGACGGCTGCTGTAAAATAGGGAATTTCTTCCCCATTGTACACGCTTCGATTGCCGTGAATACCGATCGTGACCTTTCCGTAGTTGGAATTACTACTCTCCCATAATCCCTTTCGTATGAGGAGCTTTATATCCAAGTTGCCAAGGGCAACTAGAGTTGACGTGCCGTTCCGAAGAGTCATATCCGGGATGTCAATATATCCCAGTTCCGAGTCATCTATGGTAAGATTGAAGCTCACAGCACCCTTCATTGACCAGCATTTAGCATATATTTCACCAGGCATTTTGACGTTTTCGATCCGTTAAAAACTTGCCAATTGGAGCGGAATGAAGACTTACCATTTCAACACTAATTACGGTTGGCGTATTCAAGACGAGTGTGGCGTTTACATTGTACCCGCCCTTAGTAGGAGGATCGATAAGATCAAGCTTAGTGACGTTAAAGGCGTCGTCACGTTTCATAAATTCTATAATACGACGGCCAATTAGTAGGATTATAGCATACACCAATACATGCTAACTAACCATCCACATTAAGTCCTATATATAAGATATCATCAGCCTTTACTGATGCACCTATGTCACACATCGGAGGGAAAAGTATGCAACAACATACCTGGCAAGGTCACCGTTTTGTGAATGTCTAAATGGGCAGTGGGCAGTGCTTGCACCTTGAGAGTTGGCTTTCCAGTAATTTGGACTGAAATTTCATCGCTTCTGACTGCATCCTCAGCCAGCTTTGAGAAACAGCTGACACAAGACAATTCCAAATCCTGGTCAATCTCGAGATGAGCATCGTTTCCAAAGTCGATGCGGGGAAAGGGGAGAACAGCAAAGGGAGTATCTGTGCCCGCATAGTGCATGGAGGCATCGAACTCAGAGAGGTGTCCACTACCCATCCCCACATGGAACTGTTGTGATTGCCGTATATGGAACGAGTTTGGCGTCGGATTTGTGATAGACAAGCCGTCGAAGTCGAAGTCGTACTTATTGATGCGATCATTGGCAAAGCGCGGAACCCCGACGTAGACTCTTTTTCACCGATTAACTGGGCACTAAAACGTATGCACTTGTGAGGCTCACATTGGAAGGACAGTGACCAGGACCACGCAGCCCAGGCCGATCAGATATAGCCACCACCATTTCTTCATATGGGCCTTCCATCTTTGGAACAATGGCGGTTTCGGAACGGCAGCGCTCCCATTTTCTTCCAACTTGAATGAGCTGTGCTCAGCATTGGCTTTTGACATTTTCAACAGCGTGCCATAGATTATTTCTTGGACTTCCTCTCCCCAGGCAAAGACGCAAGGATTGAGCTCACGACCGATTTAGGCTTTGGTCACGTGTTATACGCAAGGAATACAACTGCGTCCAAGGCAGTTCCTGCAGGATGCAAACAAGTAGAGCGGGGAAATGGGGATGGAAAAGAGTCATTCCTAAAGCTGTTGTGGCAGTTTAATTGCGGCGGTCCAAACTTGTTTGAAGGGTCCTACCCCGTGGGGCGCCGATCCTTTCACATGAGATACGATGGATGCGTATATCTTAGATTTAGTACTCGGCATAGACCACGGAAATCAAGTGGGTGATGTCATGTTCGTTGTGCATAGATTGAGCCATTCCATGCGCAATAAGTCTTACGCCATTTATATCTACACTGATTTTAATTCAAGGGCAGGAAGGTTTCGAAAGACGATTCGGTATGCTCGGTTACGGCCACGAGTTCAGATAAACCTCGGACTTAACCCTAAGCGAGGGGTGATCAGCACTGGTCCCTGAGTCTTCAAGGGTCTTCGATTTGCCTGTTGGAAGAACAATGGGCGTGGCGCAGTGGTAGTACGTGAATTATAATTAGCTCATTCGATTGATTGATCCGTGTACATGATCGAAGTCTCGTTGTGATGGCATGAAATGCTTAGTATTGCATTTACGAAAGCTTGAGTGACCATCATCATGACCATTATCACAGAACTATCATGCAGTCAAATCGGGATGTCTCGACAACCTTACTGGAGATTCAACATCCCTAGTCTGACACCATAATAACTATCCATGCAAACATTTCACAAATGAAGCAGGGGTCAGGAATCGCGACAAGACTCCGGTACTTTACTCCGACATAACACGTGATGACTAAGCGAGGCCTTTTTGTCACGAGTTTTAAGAGATCGTCGCTCTAAGACATACACTTGCCAGTGTCACTCGACGCGGTGATCCAGCTCAGCGAAATGTCATAGCTCCATTAGCGCAGAGCATTTATCATTGATGCTTGGTCCGAAGAATGGTGCGACAACAGCAAGACAGGGAAACTGCTAGCCAGCAGCAACAACCTCGGAACCGTCAGGGGAATGATGGAGGTTCCGACAGCCCCGAGGGCCTGCCACATGAACCTGCCTCAAAGCGCCACAAACGAGGAAAATATGCGTCAAAAGCTTGGTACGGGACCAGAAAATATTAAGCTACAGCCTTCTTTCTGACACTACGCACCTGTTCTCCAGTGGCCAATGCCAGAGGAGAAAAATCAAAGTGAGAAAGCCCAAAAAATATACCATGTTAGATGTCTCTAAGCCCGTGGGATGATTCTAGTGTGATGGTTGCATCCCCTGTCGGCCATGCGTCCTCAATGGCCGAGATTGCCTCATGCAAACAATAGACATGCGGCGCCGAAGAACAACCGGGCTGACGGAGTCTGGAGTTCCTGACGGGGAGCTGGCCAATTCGGACGCTAGCCGTCATAACCATGACGATCAGTATGAGGATTCATATTATTACTCCACCGGTTTAATATAATCCAGCTAACGATACGATTAGACTAACTGCGCGAGACCTCGCGTCTCGACTAAGTCGGATTGAGCATCAACTAAGCCTAGTCTTGGAGTCAGTAGGCCGCGACAAAGACAGATCCGTTGGCAAAGAGCCGGGAACTGATGGATCAAGTCACCTGCGGGAGGCCAATGTCCGACGGCCCATCACCTCTGATATCTCGAATGCGGTTAGAGCCCAAGTACCGGCTTTCTCGGGCGAATCTTCTATTAACCACACCCTCGACCAAATTGAGGGCTACCTGGAGCGTACGGATGTCACGTATGACAATGCAGAGCATCAACCCATGTCCTGTCAGGCGTCAGGAATATCTTTAACTGCGCCAAGTTCCCCGCTAGCTGGCTCTAGGGAGACGCGTGAGGCAGTCGATATACGAAAAATCTTGAATGGATATGGCATCGATCCACGGAAAGAAGAATGGGATGGATACATGCACACTTTCTGTGACGAAGTGCATATCCTATACCCCTTCCTTCACATTCCGAGCCTGTGGGCCAATTATGCAAACATGTGGAATTCTGGTTTTTCTTCCACGGAGCATGAGTTTCAGAGAAGCAAGGATTACCGGATGATGGTCGCTCAGGTATGGGTTTGTATCGCACTCGGAAGGTGTACGGAATCGCCTCGGTTGTGTAGTGAGGAGGGCAAACACTCTGCTGGGTGGAGCATCTTCGAGGCAGCAACGGACCTTATTGGGGACCTTGTAGGTTGTTTTCGGGCGTGCTCAAGGCCTACGATTATCTTGCAAACTTACGCGTTAATGGTACACGACCTGACCTCAGGATGAGATCGCATAGCGGATGCTGATATTTTGGTGACTATTGTAGGTGGTCTATCTCTTTCGACTCGACGCAAATGAAAGAGCGGAGAAATTCTTAGCGCTTGCTATCTCGCATGCACATTATCTAGGCTTTCATCGGTCCAAGGTTGTCCGACGTATGCCAGTTTTCAACGATGAAATGATTCGGCGACTATGGTGGTCTCTTTATGCCCTTGATCGCCGGTTAGCAATCGAGACAGGCCATCCTTTCCTAATACAGGACGTGAATGTTGATGCTCCTCATCCCCAGAACCTGGACGATGACTGGCTCACCCGGCACAAGGAAGACCCCAAGACAAACAATGAGCTAGAAAAAGACATCAAAGAAGCACTTTGCCAAGATCCTATCACACCAATCCCTTACCTAAATGCCACCATCCGCTATTCACGGGTTGTGGGGAAAATATGGGAGGCAATCTACGGGGCAAATATGACAGACGTCATCCCCAGCTCAAGTTTACTAGAATATCTAGACCAACTCATATCCAGCGCCCAAGTGGAAGTACGACCAGAATTTTCCGACAATCACCACTCTGAGCCGCCAAATCTTGAGCGAAGGAACCCGCTGCGGTGGCTCACCAAGCAGCAGATGCTGATGCGAATTGTATGGGACTTCTTCATCTTCCTATCTTCGCCCCGTTTTTTGTTCTTTCATTAACTAACCACATATCTAGCGATGGTTATCCCTCCGCCTCCTCATCCGCAAACCAATCCTGCAACAACGAGCCTCACCCCAGGAGTCCATCGCTGACATCCTCGAAACAGAAGTCACCTGCATTCGAATCGCCTCCAACATCATCCAGGAATTCAAACAAATCCCCCAATACACGGCATCTGCCTTCCCCTTCCTCCACTCACTAGTCGGGGCCACAGTCGTCACTCTAGGCCTGATCATCCGAGAGCCGTCTTTCAAAGCAATGTACGGCAACATCACACTCCACGCCGCAATCTCGCTCGAGAACTACTGCCGCAAGACATGGGTCTCAGGAAAGATGATCCGAACCATCCGGAGACTGAATCAGATAACTTCATCCGTTCTATCCCATTCCAGAAATCAACCCTCGAAGCGTTCCGCGGCGCTACAGCCATCATCCCAAAACCATATCACGGATACTAACACGGCTCCTCAGACAACAGCCTGGACATCGTCCATGGCATTCCCTCCTTCAAATAATACAACCCACACATCCACTGTGCAGGGTGGTTATATTCCGATCTCGGCACTGACGAATCAAAATACATCTTCTCTCGCCACGAATCCTATCCATCCATCGCATCCAATACCCCCATTAACACATCTTCAACATACCTCCGAAGGATGGACCGTTACGCCACCAAACCTCGTGACCACTGATTTTGACTTTGAGCAAAGTCTTACCAGTGACTTTATACCGGGTGGTCCTGTCCATGGATGGATGGTTGGAACACGGCCAAGTGGGGTCGAGGATGGAACTGCATATATGGAGATGGGATGGTTGGAGTCTTTGTTTGGGACTGATATAGGATCCAATGTTATGCTTCCGCCTGAGGGTTAGATTGAGCTTTTCTTGAAGTTCGAGGCTCGGTTTGTCTTGACATGTATCTGAGCAGAGTTCTGTTTAGAATAGAAGGTTATGTCGCTAATGAAAGAATAATATGTGCTACATCTAAATTCTATCTTGCAAGTCTAGTCAACGACCATCAACACTCACACAATGGCCCTAGAGGGCAGTGTGGCTAGGCAACACACCCGCATTCTCAAAAGACCGATAAGTCTCAATCCAGGTCTCGAGGGTGTCATCTGTTCGCTGCCAACCGTACTTCCTGGCCTTGTTAACGGACGAGATTGTGCACCAGGACTTGCCAGTCGCCCAGTTGAAGAACCCCCAGGTGCCCCAGTCGAAGGCTTCGAGCTTGCCTCCATATTTCTTCACCACAGCCTCCCAGACAGGACGCTTGTCTTTCGCCCACTCTACCATGTCGATTTCGTTGTCAAGAGTATCGGTTTGGCCGGTGGCCTTGTGAAATTGTGGTTCGGGGGCCTGCATGGAAGCTGTTAGCTAATCATCATGTCCTTTCTTTGTATATCATACAACATACCTCAATGCCAAGGTATTTTGCAACCTCTTGCCACAGGTATTTCCACACGAAGACATCCCCGTTACAATGATTGAAATCCTCATTCTTGCAGCGGTCCGTCGTCGTAGCGTAAATGGTCAAATCGGCCAAGCTAGGCGCGTAGGAATTATCATCTATGGAGTTCCAGAAATACTCATTACCCGGGAATTGGGCGGGCTGGCCGAGCTCCCGGCAGATCAACATGTAGATAGCCACGGTCAGGGCTTCGGACATTCCATTTGCTGCGGGATAGCAAAGTTTCGTTAGCTGAGTAACCAAGGGGATACTGCCAGGTGAACCAACCGTGGGGAGCAAATCCATTGATTGCGTTGGGGCGAATCACGTTCCAGGACCATGTGTTTCGTCTCTTCTGTGCCTCCTTCAGATAGTCCTCCTGAGGGTAATAGAAGTTGTAGCCCTTGTCGTCGTATCTGGGCATGTCCTCCGAGAGAGGGAACTTGACGGGCCCGAGGTGAGCGCCATAATACTGGGTTGCCTTAGTGAGCTTTCATGACCAACGCAGGTAGCTGAATAGAGAGTGCAAATAAGAGAGACGAACCTTCCCACCAGTTTGAAGGCAAACCCGTTCCAGATTCGGGCAGACTTCATCCACCGCATCCATGAAGTTCTTGAATAAAGGTATGTTCTTTTCTTTCAGCACTTTGAAGTCGTCATGGTGCACGTACGAGGTGAAGTACACATGAGTAACTGGCGCGCAGATGTCCCTCAACTTTGTGACGATCTTCTCTACCGGGTCGAGGAAGTCTACGGCCACAAATTCGACCCGCGGGTCGGGCCAGAAATACGCCAGAGGACGTCTGGAGGTCACAATAATCTTCGACCTATAATTGGTTTTCTTCAGCTAACGGCCCCTTCGCTAAGTTAATCAATTATTGTTGGGACATACCACTCGGTCTTGGGCTGCCGAATCAAGTGCTCGATGATCGCGAAACCACTGATGCCATTGGCACCTGAGACGAAAGCGACCTTGCCGGTTAGAGGACTCATGATGGATCTTCCTTTTCTGTGAATATAGTTGAGGTTGTTCGATGGAGAAAATGAAAGAGGACACCTTTCAACCTCTTTATACATCGGTTGTTTCATCGTAGAACAGCGCCATATCAAGGACCATAACCTCATTCGGCATCCCGCTGGAACTAAATGGGTCAAGATTCGGAACTTCCATGCGAAAATGGCCGCTTTTGCCGATGTGCATATGGGTCCCGGTGTTTGCAGGTTACGATAGCTCGCCATGAGAACGTTGCATGATTTTTAGTCGGCGGTAGTAGACCCCATTCTCTGCCGTTCGAACTTGTCTGGATATTTCGGATATTTCGGCGGAGCTGATCGACATGGATATGATTGATCTGCAGCACTAGAAGTGCTACCAAGATGTCGCAGCTGTTGTCTGACGAGTCCTGGGGGAGTTCAGATGTAGTGTGGGTCACGCTCGGTGTCCGGGGACGGAATTATTGCAACAATTCCGTTGCATTTCCGTGCCAAATTCAATGGTGCATTTGTCTGTCTCGGTGATGTGGGAATGTGTGCAACTGCCAAGTCAGTATATAATAAAAATTTCTAAATTGCATATCTCATAGTACTGTAGTAAGATAATTAACTATTCATTTGGTGATTATGTAATTGGAGTCACTCGTTGCATCTTCTACTTCGGCTGCTTTAGGCGGAATATTATATTTCACGCCTGTGCAGCTTCAGCGAGAAGTGAAACTGATCTAGTAGAACAACGTTATGAGATTCATGTATTCTAGAGACAATATAAGGGCTGATTTTATACATATCTAAGGCAAATTACTAGATTCTAGGCTTTGTAATAAGGATGTAACACCCATACATAATTGTGAATTCGATAACACCAGTGCCGTTAGATGATCTTCGAAGCCATCTGACTACGCTGCCTGATCTTTCCACCATATCGATAGAAAACAAATGGGATAAATGTCAAAAATACTTCCACCAGTGCTAACATCGTTCCCGCCCAATGCACCCCCATTGCCCCATACATCTTCGAGCCTGCGAGTGGCAATACTCCCCCAAACACATATCTAACCACCGAGTTTCCAGCGATAGCAGAGGCGGCATACATACCATAGCTAGCTGCCAGATAGCTGGTAGCATAGATAAACACTAGCCCATTTCCCAACCCAAATGGGACACCCGCTAGTATACATGATATCCAATGGACAGGTGGCCGGGCGGTCCAAGAGAACCAGAACTCCCCGATGGGAATGAGTATCCCACCGATGCATATTGGTCGCACCAACGCCTCTGGTGGGATCTTTCCAGTGATCGGATCGGGTGGATGTTTTGCAATGAGGAACTTGCGGACTAATGGTTCTGAGAACACCGCCAGCGCTATGCCAGTGCCAATCCCCAAATATCCGAGTCCTGCCAGACCAGGGCACCATTCGCGGAGTTGCTGAAACACCATTGGATACCCGACAAAACAGAGGAATAATACTGCATAGACAACGCCCACATATACGTTCCAGAATAAACTATTCAGTCAGCACGAACCACGCTTGCAGTTTTCATTTGGGGGACAGAGGCCGAGGCCTCTCAATCACTTACCATATTGGTTCAAAAATTGCCATGATAAGTGGCCGGCTAAGGCTAGTCTGTAGTCTTTTCCAGATGCTTTCTTCACCTTGGCTGTCATATTTGGTCCACCAGCGTGTATTGCCAGTTTCGATTTGCTTCGCCTTTCGTCGCCTCTTGAGCAGGACGGGTGCGTACGTCTCTTTCACCAAACAGAGGCATGCGGTTGACGCTCCACCACATATAAGCACAATCCAATTGATCCAGCGCCATCCAAGATATTGGTAGACAAAGCCGCCGATAATAGGACCTAGAAAGTGTCAGTCGGTAGCTAAGCCAGTGATTCGAGAAAATAAAATTGTACCTAGAACCGGGCCATTCATTGCCCCAAGACTCCATAGACTAAACGCTAAAGCTCTGTACTCGGGATGGATTATATCGTTTATAGTGCCAGGACCAGCTACTACCGAAGCACTGCCGAAGAAACCACCAAAGAACCTGCTGATAACGACGGCCTCGAAATTTGGTGCCAGTGCCACAGGTACGACCAAGATAGTAAACAAGGCACCAGTGCTTATGTAGATTATTCGTCTACCATACACTTCAGACAGAGGTGCGAGGACTAGACAACCGAGTCCCAGACCTATCATGTAGGTAGTCAGCCCAATCAGCACCACAGTCCTAGATGTAACATTGAAGGATTCTTGGATTCCCGGCGAGCCAGATGTATATGACGTGGAATACAATATCCTAGAGGCAGTTTAGATAACCCGACAAAATGCTACTATACATCCCGGAAAGGGAATTATAGTATAGCTATGCGAGGCAGAACATCGTTGGACTTACACGCATGTTGTAGTGAGTGAAACAGACCACACAGTGAAGCATTTGTACCACAAAGGCCAGTTGTTGGGATTCTCTTTGTCATTTTGTTCCCAGTCAACTTCGAACGCAGGGTCTCGCGATGCAGGCTCAGAACTCTCGGTTGGGCATCCCATAATGACCCCTATCAGCTGCCAAGCTGTCTGGAAGCGTTATTCGAGACAGAGCGATCATCCTCGGCGGTGCTGTGTATTAATACCTTAAAATTAATGACACGGTCCTATGGGTAGTGCCGAATGATGGGCTGTCGTGTGCTTGACACGAGCATGCACAGACCTTGGAAACCGGTTAGCCGCGTAAAGACATCTTTTCTGTCGGTGCAAACAGCTTGCGAGATTGTAACTCAACAAATTATATTAGAGCATGGTCGTTAGTCTCCTTGGGGTGGACTCGGTGGAGCTGGTGTACCGGAATAGTGGCGGAAATCGTTCCGGATTTCCGCCTTAGTATAAAGGTTGGCAAATGTATCAATTCTCTCAACGATCTGCATATCGGATTACTCAAATCCTTGTAATTTCAGACATCAAGCAGAAATTCTGTATCACAAGATCGACATAGCGCGATACAAGATGACGCTCATTGTGGGTGTGTTGCACTACTCGATACAAGCAATGGAGAGGTGGGCGGGTTTCCGCTTCTAGTCGAGTCGGCGTAGACTGCATTCTCACGTGCATAATGCCCATGGTTTCCATATAATAGAGTGTATCAGTCAATCATCCCCGCTGTCTGTCGTAAGCACCGTCGGTAAGAGTAGACTACTACCTGAGTCTACCTCCCCTCTGACAATATGACATCAACGAAATCTCGACCTACTTTCGCTGAGCTGCCTCTGAATCCAAATGACCCTCCATACTCGGCATGGGGCCTCTGGGGAGCTGATGATGAAGTTGGAACACTGGTAAATGCTTTGATATCCGAAAGAATAACCCATCATACTGATGTACCCTGTCTTAATAGGATCTACTTGATGAATCCACCGTGACTAGAGCAGCCAGTGAAATCTAACTTGGCCGCTGTTTCAAACGTGGAATCAGTGCGTTGAATTTGAAACTGAGTCTCATAGCTGGTCTTTAGCTTCTTCTCAGACGCTAGGAGACACACACGTGAATTCAGCCATAACGTATACGAGCACTCTACCGAACTCATTGCAATAGATGATGAGGTGTGTGGCTACGAAATACCTACGCTTCTCAAGGCCAAGCTAACCACATGCCCATATGTATAGTTGCATTTCAACATGCAGAAAAGTAGCCAGGCCGATGGGCTACGCCACTTTGCTTATCAGAAGTCCGACTTATGCTATAATGCGAAGTCCAAAGATAATATCCAGAACTCTGGTTCCCTGACACTAGGGATTCAGCAGTGGCATGGCAATGGATTGGTCACCGGTCGAGGCATCCTGATCCACTACTGGGCATACGCAAAGCGACATGACAAGGTATACGATGCGACCGGCGGCACTTCCATCACGTACGATGAGCTGATGGGCCGTGTTGCCGAGCAATCCCAACTCTCAAAGCAGATTATCGAAGTACGAAGGGGTGACATATTGCTGATTCGATCCGGGTTCACAAACAAATACGTCGAGCTATCAGACGACCAGGAGGGAGAACTCACCACACACAACGCCCCCCAGGACATGTGGGATGGCTCAAGACGAGAGAATGCTGCAGTTCCTTTGGGAGAAAGAGGCGGCCATGGTGGGAGGTGATGCGCCAGCGTGGGAATGCTTGCCTCCTGCCCCATCTTCTAGCTTCCTCTATCACGAAGTCTTATTGGCTGGCTGGGATGTCCTATTGGAGAATTACTTTGGTTAGAGCATCTTGCTCGAGCCTGTGGTGACCATAAGAAATGGACCTTCTTTCTCACATCGACCCCACTCAATGTTCCCGGCGGAGTCAGTAACCCTGCCAAGATGATTGCCATTCTTTAAAGATTAACCGCACGATAACAATTGAACAGATGTTTTTCTAATGCAAAACGGTATGTAGCGATATCGCATATGTAAGGGGAACCTCCCGATAACGGGAATTCTTATCAATCTACTACAGTACCCCTCATCGGCATCCGCCGTCCTGTCACCCCCCGCATTCCTGGAGTATCTGTATTACGCAACTTACACCACCGCGGCCTCAACCCCCCGCAGAATGAGAATGTCATGCGTATCGTACCATACTGATGCCAGTGATGCAACACACCCCTCATCAGCTTGTTGGAGATTTGGAGGACTTCACTTATTTAAGGCTGACCTTTTCGCTTTAGAGTTACTGAAATTAACATTTTCTAATATATTTCTGAGTCAACTTTGTACTTCTGTTACCGAAATTATTTACCATGTCTCTCGCAACACTTGACGTTAGATACCCCGAGCGATACCAACTACCCATATAGTACTCACTAATAACCGGAGCAGACATCGCAACACCCCAACCTCCCCACCGCATCCGCGACTCTCTTCAAGGCCAAAGCTGCCAAGAAATTCAGCTTCGAACAGATTGCCCAGCACATTGGTCGCAACGAAGTCGCAACCGCAGCCATCTTCTACGGCCAGGCCAAGGCCTCGGCGGAGGACATCACCAAGCTCGCTTCCCTCCTGGAAATCTCCCATGAGACCCTGGAGGAGCAGCTCAGCGGCTGGCCTGATCGCGGCAAGTCCGTGGAAATGCCTCCCAAGGAGCCTCTGATCTACCGCTTGTATGAGATCGTGCAGAACTATGGGTATGCCTACAAGGCGGTTTTGAACGAGAAGTTTGGAGATGGGATCATGAGCGCTATCTCGTTCTCAACAAATGTGGAGAAGGAGACAGATGCTGATGGAAATAACTGGGCTGTTATTACCCTTCGTGGCAAGTGGTGAGTACAATGCCTGCGGTTCGTGTGACGACTATGGTGTTAACATGTTTAGGCTTCCTTTCTCGAGATTCTAAAGGGATCACGCCATTGTTATGAGGAGGCTGAGTGGGCTTTATGCCTCGTGTATGCGGATTGATGATCTTATGTCCAATGTATGTTTGAAAGTATATAGCATGAATGTGTATGCGTAATGACAACCTGTTTCCTCTTGTTCGTAGAGAGTAGGATATGGGAGCAAAAGCCCTTGCCGCTAAGAATAATTAAATATAATTTGAATATACGACTCTAGCGCATATTTAGATGCAAGCAGTATAGAATATCTTTGTGTAGGCCAATGACAAACGGAATAACAGATGAAAGAGGGATACTTGCAGTATAGGATGATTGCTATAGTAAACAATGCTTATCTATATTGACAAACACATCCTAATAGACCCAGTAGGTATGCCTGTCCATAGAGTCCACAAGAGGAAACTCACTAGGTAGTGTTTGTTATAATAGAATACAAATGGAGCAAACAGAAGTATGTTTGGAGAAACTGTATATCCATTGTGAAATTCACATTCAACCCTGTTTGTCTGATTCAATTCACTAAGCATCCCCCATCACACCAATTGCAACACCCAGGGAATGAAATTCTAACACTGAAACATCTTTCCGATTGAGAGTTCCTCTTATATTTCTATCCCTTTACCTTCCTAAGCCACTCTCGTTTTCTCTTCCTCCTCACCACCATACCCTCTCTCCCTGGTACTCATACACTCCCCCTCTACGGGTCTAACCTATACAAGTTGACATCAACATGGCTGAGAAAGCAGCTACCAACAAGGTGCACTGCACCTACCCTCTCTGCAAGTTGGTTTTCAAATCGGAAGGAGAAATGAAGCAGCACAAGACCTTTGACAATGAGCACGAATATTGCGCCCAGTGCGATGAAGACTTCGAAGACGAGGAGCGCCTTCTGATCCACAAGATCAAAAGTGTAAAGCATATCGTCTGTCCTGTTTGCGGTATCGAGTTTCGCAGCGATGGTGGCCGCAACGCCCACATTCGTCAGGTGAGACACTAACGTATCCGGTGGCCATCTTGACTAATCTGATCTCTGAAGAACCACCAATCCCAGCAGATTATCCCTTGCCACGGTTGCAAGGCTACGTTCAAATCTGCCAGCGGTCTGATGGCTCATATCGAGAAGGATGAATGTTCCACCATCCGTCACGTCCATCTCCTCCAGGAGCAGTCTAAGAAGATGATGATCAGGGAGGCCTTGGATGCCGGTGAAGGAATGTCATTGCCAATTATCCCTCCTCAGGGTACCCTAGAGGATGCCGACTACGATGATACTGATGGTGGAGTCATGCTTAAAACCGGTCAGGCGGCAAGTCGTGCAATGTCGAACAGAGAAGCTCTCAGCAACCAGCCGAAGCCTGGCCAGGACGATCCCACTGCTAGTGTTTCGGCGATGCTTGCTCTGAAGCACTGGCCGGCTTTGGGTGCAAATGCTACCAAGGGAACCAGTGTTGCGCCTAGTGATCTGTTGGCTTTCTCCGAGCTGAGCATCTCCACCGCCACAGGCAAAGACAACAAGTCGTGGAAGGGAAAGGAGCCTGTCAGATCGACAACCAATGCCGTGTCGTCGCAACGTCCATTCGGCATTGGAACACTTCCCCCCGGAGACACACTTCGCATGCTTGACCGCGCATGGGACGCGACAAAGTTCTTTGATTCATTCACCGGCCAATACATTTGTCCCTGTAAGAGGAGCTTTGCCACCATGGCCGAATTTGAGAACCATGTGCTCAGGAAGAGTCGCATGATGGAAGACAGACAGTACGTTGCTGCCCATCTGACAAATTATTATCGCTAACTATCCAACCCACTACCGTTAGGTGTCCCGGATGCCTCCGCTTCTTCAAAACTACCGCTGCTTTAGTCGCGCACCTCGAATCGCCAAGCACTCGTTGCAACCTCAGCGACGGTGAGAGATACGGTCAGATATTCGAGGAGATCACTGGCGGACTTATCCAGACGGCGGGATATGCTGAAGATGGCACGGTCAAGTATGAGGCTGGGAAGCTGGAAATAGCGGATGGGTCTGAGCCTGGTACCACCACCATTGGTACGGACCTGCGTCTCCGTCCTCAGCGCCGGGAGTTTTAGTGCGTTACTCAGTCCTTATTCTTCTGCTTCGTCCAATGTTCCAGCTGCAGGTACCGTACCAGTTTGTGCAATTCCTATTTTCATGTTAGTACGGCGAACACTCTAACAGTGAGAGCGATTTATCAAAGTCTAAACACTCGGAACTCACAAATGAAGTGAGATAAACAGACACTGTTATTTCAATGAGGCAAATTTAACTAGGGAAGTGATCATCTCAACATCGAGAATTTCGCACAACATGTAGACCAATAACGCGTAGACGGGTATAACTCATAGCCAGAGGACCTTCCTCCACGCCTTCAAATTGTAACCAACTCCCACCAAACTAACAACACTCCTCACAGCACTCAAAGCAAAGGATACCAGCACATCTACTCCAGTTAGCTCTCTGTGGATAGGACAACACGATATAGTGAAGGGTAAGAACAGAAACCTACATTCCGCAGCAACAATCACCCGCACCCCCACCACGCAACTGCATCTTCTCCTGCGTATTCTAAATGATCAGCCTTCTTAGCCAACTCTTACACAAATCAGAAACAACATACCGGTTGCTCCGACACAGCACGGTCCACAATGGGAGCAGGAGGACTGGACGGTTGTTGCATCGTCATGGTATTAGGATCCCAGGTTGGTTCTTGGGTACGGGGAGATTCCTCTTTAGAGGACTTGAAGAAGTCAAAGAGGCCCATGGTGCCTGTATGAGCGCAAACTGATGAAACGATAACCACGCGCTTTAAATTCAATATATACCACGCAAAGACGTCACAGATGATAGAATGTATGCAAAAGAAAACTGCCACCAAAACCCTCCCAAACAGCGACCCACGAGCCCTTAAATACAGCCAGGACGATGGTAACTGAATCTGCGCCCTTCGGCTAATCATACATCCCAATAACCAGACCACAAAGTGGAGCCATAACAGGGGGCGTTCCTTCAACACCAACCAGTCACGACCACGACATGCTCCACGTCATGGGCTAAGCCCTGCCAGCTTGCGTTTTCCTCGTCGATCGACCCGTTCTTTCCGTGGTTTTTTGTCCTGGGTTGGATGATGATTGGACTTAGGTCATATTTCTATCTGACTGGACGGTGCATGTTTCATTGTGATCGTGAAATATAAGCCTATCAGTCTCCATTGGAATAAGGATGGACAGAATTAGTGCATCTTTCCGCCTCTTCCGGTGGGAATTACTAGTAGATGGGTCAAGATACTAGTAAATACTAACCTACGCAGGCAGCACTGTTTCGTGCCGCCGGCCCGCTAAGCTTTGGTTAAGCTTTTGGCTGGTTCGGTGGCGAGTGAGCGTCGTGGCCTATTTTTGGGCGCTGTTCGGCTAGCTCCAATGCGGTGTGCCGTTTTTATTGCCGGTATACCCGATTCGGGCTGTTCGACAAACAGTGATCTGGTTCTTTTTACTTCGTGCCTTGGGTTTAGCTTGGTTTCTGAATTCTGGGGTTTATGCACAGATGCATTTATTTATGAAATTCTTATTCGAAGCATGGATCGGGTGGGGGGACTATAAAATATACTAATTCATTTTATGTCTGTGGATGTGATTTCAGCTGTATATGAACACACCGTTATATGGAGGATGAAGTATGCTTTCTACTACATTTCCTTGCTGTGTAGTATGCTAGATTAGTAGCCGGTACCTGAACTAACCCTACATCACCCAATCAAATGAGGCCGACCAGCTGAATCACCTGACCCAAAACCAAACTGCACAAGGGGCCCCACCAGGCCCCCGTAGATTTGCTCCCGATGATCGCCTTATCAGAATCCAACAAAAAAAAAAAAAAAAAAAAGCAAGTACAGCACTTAAACCA